GACATGCCAGGATGAGGATGAGACCTCTGCAGGCGTGGTTGGCGAAGGTTTTCTGCCAGTCCAAGGGTCTATGGGACTCCATAGTATCAGTGCTTCCGCACATTCTGGACTCCCTACTCTGGTGGACCCAGGAATCCGTGGTGAGCAGCGGGGTTCCCTTCAACGCCCCTCCCCCCTCGCTGAGGCTAGTCACCAATGCGTCCGACCTGGGATGGGGTGCACACCTCGGGTGCCACAGAACTCAGGGCCTCTGGTCCCCTTCCGAACGGACCCTGCACATCAACGTCCGGGAACTGTGGGCGGTGAGGAGGGCCTGCGAAGCATCCCTGCCGAGGCTCTCCCACTGCTCCATCCTGGTACGTATGGACAACACTGCAGCAGTTTTCTACCTCAACAAGCAGGGTGGGGCGCATTCGCCACCCCTATGCAAGGAGGCCCTGCGTCTATGGCATCTGTGTGTCACCCACAATATCACGCCTCAGGCGGAGTACCTCCCCGGGTGCAAAAACCTACTTGCAGACACACTGAGCAGAACTTTTGGAGCCCACGAGTGGTCACTCAAGGACTCTGTCCTCAGCCAGGTTTTCCGCAGGTGGGGCTATCCCCACCTATATCTGTTTGCCTCAGCACACAATGCGAAGTGCAGGAACTACTGTTCCCTGCTGGGGCTGGGGGAATATTCCCTGGGGGATGCCCTGACGACCGTGTGGCCAAAGGGCATTCTCTATGCTTTTCCCCCATTTCCACTAGTTTCCAGGGTTTTGACCAGAGCGAGAACTTTCAGGTCCTCGATCATCCTCATAGCCCCCAGGTGGCCCAGGCAGTTCTGGTTCCCCATCCTCCAGTTTGAGATCTGCTAACACAACTTGGGACGGGGGATAATGGTTCACCTGGATCTCCGGTCTCTTCATCTAACGGACTGGTTTATCCGTGGTTGAACCAACCAGAAAGGGAATGTTCCCAACAGGTACAGATGGTGCTCCTTAGCAGCAGGAAGCCCTCTACTAGACGGTCGTACGCTGCCAAGTGGCGGCGCTTCTCGTCTTGGGCGTCTCGGAGAAGAGTACAACCGTCCTTGGCCCCTATTCCAACTATCTCGACTATCTCTTTTAACTCCGTTCTTCTGGCCTGTCCTTTTCCTCTATTAAAGTCCATGTGGCATCTCTCTCCGCCTTCCATGTTGGTTCGGCAGGGAACTCTCTTTTTTTTCTAACCAGGTGGTTAAAAGGTTTCTTACTGCTTTGGAGAAATTGTACCCCTCGGTGAGGGCTCCATACCCTGCCTGGAACCTCAACCTGGTCCTTCACAGGCTTATGTCCCCTCCTTTCGAGCCTTTGGCTACATGCTCATTGAAGCACCTTTCATTGAAGGTTGCTTTCATAGTAGCTATTACGTCTGCTAGAAGGGTATCAGAGTTAAGGGCGCTGACTATAGAGCCGCCCTACCTTGTTTTTTCACATGATAACGTAAGGCTACAGCCTCATCCAATCTTCCTCCCGAAGATGGTTTCTCTTTTTCACCTATCTCAGGAGATTCATTTACCGGTGTTCTTCCCTAAACCTCACGCATCCCCTAAGGAGCGTGTTCTACACTCCCTGGATGCCAAGCGAGCGCTGGCTTTTTATATTCACCGAACCAAGCCCTTCCGTAAATCCCAACAATTTTTCGTTGCATTTGGGGATAAGGGAAAAGGTTCACCTATTTCTACGCAAAGGTTATCCAGATGGGTGGTGCAATGTATAGCAGAGTGTTATCAACTGGCTGGTAAAAACCCCACCCAGGGTGAAGGCACACTCTACCAGGGCGCAGGCGTCCTCGGTAGCCTTTGGTTCCCAAGTACCTATCACAGACATTTGCAGGGCAGCCACCTGGTCTTCCCTCCACACGTTTGCAACACATTATGTGCTACCTCAACAGGCCAGGGAGGATGCAAGGGTGGGCTCTGCAGTCCTCGAATCTGTGATATAAATATGTAAATATATAGATCTGGTTGTCTTTGCTCTGGGTTGGTGACTTGTCACTGTTTATTTGTTCAAATTAAATCTGTTATTGTTCACCTTCCTTTATGACTCTGGTGCTATGACTTCCGACCCCTCCTCCTTGGGGTTAGCTTGGTAGTCACCTACTTCGAATGGACATGAGCAACCACTCAAAGAAGAAAAGAACGGTTACTTACCTGTAACTGTTGTTCTTCGAGATGTGTTGCTCATGTCCATTCGACTCCCATCCTACCTCCCCTTCGTCGGAATATCTGGCAAGAAGGAACTGAGGTAGGGCAGCGCCGGCAGGGGTACTTATGCCCCGCCATGGTGGCGCCACTCCAGGGGGCACCCCGCCGGCGCTACAGGTACGCTAGGGAAAACGCTCCGGAAGATGTGGTGCACGCGGCGCGCACACCTACTTCGAATGGACATGAGCAACACATCTCGAAGAACAACAGTTACAGGTAAGTAACCGTTCTTTTCTGCAGGGTCTCTCTCACAGCCATCTGTGTTTCACCCCTCTATACAGGATCATTCAGTTTTCTCTCACCCATCAATCGAGATTTATGCAAGGTCTGTGCAATACTTTCCCACCAAACTAAAGAACCAGTCTCCGCAAGAGACCTTAACCTAGTACTAAGAGCATTAATGGGCAAACCATTCAAACCACTAGCAATGTGTTTTCTCCTCCATTTATCCATGAAGATGGCCTTCCTAGTGGCAATTACCTCTGCACGAAGAGTGGGACAGTTGGGCGCACTAATGACCGATCTGCCCTATACAGTCTTCTGTAAGGACAAGGCGGTCTTTCAGGACTATCCTAAATTGCTTCCCAAAGTACTTTACCTCATTACATTGTAATGAACCAGTTTTCTTACTTGTCTTCTTCCTTGAACCTCATAGTGATGATAGGGAAAGGGCTCTACGTACCCTTGATGTCTGCAGGGTGGTGGCCTTTTACTTGCAACGAACACGCTTGTTCAGCAAAACGCCTTGCTTGTTCGTCTTCTCAGGAGACAGATCTCATGGATTACCCATCTCTAAACAGAGACTATCCAAGTGAATCTCAGATTGTATAAGGATAGCTTATGCCATATTCAACAAACAGCCTCCTTTGGCTGTACAGGGCAATGGCCGCCTCCACTGCCTTTCTCCACGGTATCCCCACAGATGAGCTGTAGAGTAGCCAGCCACATGGGCTTCCACTCATACTTTCACCCATCACTATGCCATCCAATCATATGCAGACACACACAATTGATTCGGCTGCTTAGTACTTTCAGTAGCTGAAACAGGCCTTCCAAAGGACCAACCTCTGGGCACTGATACTGCTCTGTAGTCATATAAGTTGGCACACCCATGGGGACTTCTTGAAGAAGAAGGGAAGGTTATTCACCCTGTGCAATAATTGGAGTTCTTAGATATGGTTGTCCCTGTGGGTGCTCCACCATCCACCCTCCTCTCCTCTGCTTTTTGGATTTGGTTTGGATCCGGATCAGAGAAGAATTGAGGAGGCGGCTGGCTACTCACGTGCATTACACACACTAGGCGTCTTGCGCCAGAGCCTAGCACGCATGGCCAGCCAGGGGGGCATTGATACTAACAATCTCCAACTGGTGGGTGCAGTGGCACTGGCGCACCTAAGGTGGAGCACCCATGGGGATAGCCATCTTGAAGAACTCCAGTTAGTGCATAGGGTGAGTAACCATCCCTTTTTAAATATCAACTAAAATTAATAAATTGTGTGTAGACTGATTACCCAAAACATTACAAATTTAAAAGTCCCCTTTCTTACATTGCAGCCTTAGGCTGCAATAACATTGTATACACATTTATTACTCAGTGAAGTAACTTATGAGCCTACATTTAGTTGTGTATTTTAAAATTATATTAAACAATATGCCCATGTGTACCAGAGCTGAATTTAACCAATTAAGATTATTCTTTATGTTCAAGCCCTAATTTTGTAAACATTGAGCTCAATGTTCTTAAACAGGAACAAGTTCAAGGGCTTTTATCTGAAAGGAAACATCTTGAGATCATTATTGAGGAATTACAGAAGAGAGAAAAAGAGATGAAGGATATTCTTCAAATCAGAGAGGTCTGTAAAAAGGGTGACTTTTTTTCCTTTCAATATCTTATTGATATAATGCACTTGAATGTCTTTATCAGTGACTTGTATAAATAATTGTGCATGCAATTAAATTAATACGCAGGAGGTTTAAAATAAATATAAAGAAGTATTTCACACGGTGCACAGTCAACCTGTAGGGCATGTTGTGAAGGTCAAAAGTATAACTAAGTTCAAAAAAGATTTTTCATGAAGAATCTCCATCAATGGCTATCAGCCAAGATGGTCAGAAATGCAATTCCTATTGCTAAACCTCTCTTAGATTGCTAGAAACTGAACAACAGGCAAATGGATCACTCTATAATAACCCTGCTTTGTTAATTCATTCTGAAGAATCTACCATGGGCCACTCTTGGAAGAAAACATCCTGGGCTAGATAGATCATTGATCTGACCCAATAACACTGTTTTAATGATCTTGCAAGTTTTTACATCTCTCTATATAATTTAGAGAGTTTGTGCATCTGTCTGCCTGAGTCAGGTTGTTCAAGAACTCCTCCTAAATTGTAAGCTCTAGGACCACCAACTTTGGAATGCAGCTTTCTCTTATCAAAACTTTAAAGCAAGGTAAGGATTTGGTTGTGCCAGGCAATGGGATGTACTTGGAATGTGATTGATTGTTTCTCATTAAATGGAAAGGAGGGCTCTGCTAGAGTGGACTGTTATATTGTATAATTGCCACATGGGGGCAGCAAGCAGCCAGCAATGGGGATTGGGCCAGGTATAACCCCATTGGGCCAGCATGGGACAGGCGTGGAGAAAGCTACCAACTATATATTTGAGAGTGTCTCTCTCTCTCTCCACCTGTCTCTGTGTGTGCCTGTCCCCCAGCTGGCCACAAACAGGCACTTCTCGCCTGGCCCCAGGCTTCTGTGCTAAGAGAGGGCTGAGGCAGCCTACAAATTGAAATCCTCAATCCCAACCTCACCCTACAGCAATGGTTTAAATGAAGAGAAAAATCAGTTATGCCAGATAAATCTAGTATGTTATAAATGCATAAACACTTGTGCCACTTTTTTTCCTGCAGAAAGAAGTACACAATTTGGAAGTACAGTTAACTGGTGCAGCTGAAAAAGAACAAAATTGTATAAAACAGATTACAGCACTGAATGCAGACCTTGAAAAAGAGATGTATGACCTTGTTTTTAATTACAATGTTACCTTAAAAGCTATCTCTCGTTTTAAATGTGAAATTATGTGATTTTTGTAATGAAAATGTAAAATTTATTGTGAAATGCTCTACTGTTTAGCAATTTCAATTCTACTTTTTCTCTGCCATTTCATTAGTACCAGAGCAAAAAAGGGGAAGTGTTAAGTATGGAAAGGGTTAAGTATGGAAAGGGATTGTCTTCAGAATGAAGCATGGAAAACTACTTAAACTGTAACACATGTCTATTTGGAATTTGTAAAAAGAAAAGTGCAATTAGTATTGATATTTCCCTCTCCTGCTCGTCATAGTATTTTTCTTTTCAGCCATGTAAAAACTGTATCACCTTCCTCTTTTTCCGCCATAAGTGTGACTATATCTGCATCTTATAATTAGATTAATAGTTTATTCATGTTTGCATTATTATTGAGGCCCCAGTCAAGGTCAAGGCTCCACAAGCTGTGCACTGTAGAAACCACTAGAAGAATCTGTTGGCTCCTACCATGATTTTACAGTCTTATTTAGAATAATAGGACTGGAGGGGACTTGCTAGGTCATCTAGATCAGTCCAATGTACTGAGACAAGACTAAGTATTTTCTAGACAATCTCTAATAGGTGACTGTCTAATCTGTTCTTAAAAAAACACCAATGAGTAAGATTCCACAGCATCCCAGTGCTTATAACTACCCTTATAATTAAGAAAATTTTCCTAACGTCTAATATACTTCTATCTTGCTTCAATTTAAGCCTACTTCTTATACTGTCCTCCAAGATAAAGAGAAGAATTTATCACCCTCCTCTTTAATAGTAATAGAAATGTAGCCGTGTTAGTCTGGTTCAGCTGAAGCAAAATACAGGACTATGTAGCACTTTAAAGACTAACAAGATGGTTTATTAGGTGATGAGCTTTCGTGGGCCAGACCCACTTCCTCAGATCAAATAGTGGAAGAAAATAGTCACAACCATATATACCAAAGGATACAATTAAAAAAAATGAACACATATGAAAAGGACAAATCAAATTACAGAACAGAAAGGGGATGGGGTGGGGAAGGTAAACGTCTGTGAGCTAATGATATTAGAGGTGATAATTGGGGAAGCTAT